TTATTCATGTCGTGTACCCTATCTTAGTCATGTGCCTTGTTAGTATATATGTTGTTGGATGTGTATTAGACGAAACTGATTAATGTATATTTTGAGGTGGATGGTTGGATTTGTACAATGTGTTGGATTTGGTTATATTTGGTTTTTGGATGGAATTGTTATGAATTTTGATTATAATTGGATGGTTGAATGTATTCACGTGTACAGTATTTTTTGGATGTATTCAAATATTAATGTAATTGTACAGGAAAGTATAAATTGTAATTAATTTTTTTTTGTTGGAAAAAAGACAACCTAGACGGAATTCCGTCTATATTAAGTCAATGTAGACGGAATTCCGTCTAGGTTGTGAAAAACCAACCTAGACGGAATTTCCATCTGGTATAGCAGACCAGACGGAATTTCGTCTGGCCTACTATACCAGACGGAATTCCGTCTGGTATGTCAGACCAGACGGAATTCCGTCTGGTATGAATTCCGTCTAGTTTGACATACCAGACGGAATTCTGTCTGGTATGTCAAACTAGACGGAATTCTTTATTCCGTCTAAGTTGACTTCCGTCTAGGTTGATCAGCCTAGACGGAATTCCGTCTAGTTTGATTCAATCTAGACGGAAGCAAAATAAACCACCCAAACTAGACGGAATTCCGTCTATATGAACTAATCTAGACGGAATTTGGATCAACCTAGACGGAAATTTCCGTCTAGGTTGATCAGTTTTCTACTAGTGAGATACAACTATGCCATGAAATAAGTGAATTATTATAGTTCCTAATTAATTAATTAATTAATAACATAATTGTCATGATGATCGAGTCTAGGTCATGGAGTAGTCTGGGACATGAAGGTGGGAATGAACACCGGGATTCAAGAGATATGCCGACAAGACGTGAGCAAGGTGCACCCTCATCCAAGCAACAGATACTAGGGATATTTGATGGTTATGCTCCCTTAGGACCCTTACCCATTAGCTATAATAATATCTGTATTATTTTAATTTTGCTAGTTGTGGGAATTAAATCATACAAATTAAGATATTAGAGAAAATAAAAATCACATCCTCAGATTTTTAAGAATCACATGCGCATGCTCCTTAGCAAGTTTATGTTCTAAGAGAGGAAAAACTAGTTATTCAGAACGTCAAACAGAATTCATAAAGGAGCAGTAGACTGTGATTTAGAAGATTAATAAGTGATTGTTCTGATACGATCTATATTCTTCAAACAACATCAAATGCTCCCTTTTATCTGGAGAAACGAGAGAAATTGCATTTAGAAGGAACATCCACCAACATTTCTACAGAATATTCTTAATCTAGAAGGAAGAAGGAAGGAAGGAAGGAAGGAAGGAAGAAGGGAAGGGGGGAAAAACAAAGAATGATTGGTTTTCTTGTTTCCTTGTTTATTTGCTCAATACCTCCATGCTGCATAGCTAAACAGAAGTATATATATAAACTAATCAACGCTATTTGTGTCATGAATTAAGAATAGATTTTCTTTCTCTATATAAATGGATCAAGTTGCGTTCTATAAATATGTAGCTAAATTATTTTTGCTTCTAATTTCATCTTTATTTGTTGTTATTACCTTTTTCCAATCTGAAATCTTCAATTTTCAACCCATACTTTATCACTTTGTGGATCAGCCAACCTTCAGTAGCATGTCGGTTTTTAATAATTATTCAGAAAGAACAAGTAAGCAAAGCACAATCAGAGGTGACATTCCTCCTTGGGATTTGGCTTGCCAAATTATTAGCCTTGAATAATCATTTGCAATAGCGTGCACTTAACTTAATGAGATACCAATTACATATGATATTTTATTGCCTTAGAAAGTAATCAAGCTACACTTTTTAATCATTATCTTTTTGCGATTTGATCATGTAACGGACGCCTCCTTTACAACAAACAAACAAACGGACGCCTTCTCATGTTCTGATGGGGCTCTTGGGCCGTACCTAGGAATTTCGGGGCCCAAGACGAAAATTTAGATAAGACCTAAGTGATACAACTCATATTAGATTTTATCTCATTCTTCTTACCTTTTGAGCTGCAAAATTACTAATTAAAGTTTTATGTTCAATATTTTCAAACATATTATTTTCGATAGATAATATTGCTAAACCATTCAATATATCTTGTAACATGGTTGATCTTAAATAAGATTTTAGTCATTTTAATTTTGAAAAACTTCTTTCAGCGGAAGCAACTGTTACGGGTATAGTCAATATAGAGTGTTTGGCAACATAATAGATTATAATTCATCATTATTGTCAACATGACCATAAAAAGTTTACTTGGTGGTGAGACGCCAAATGATATGCAAGAATTTATAAATTCATAAACAGTATATTGGTCTCTTACTTTGTCAAACTATTAAACAATATAGTTAGGCTATTTGTTTTCTTTTATTTTTGTCCCAGTTATAATACTAGAACATTTTCTCATTGCTTTTGTACATAAACTTCTCAATACCGTGTATGGACAAGATCTCTTTAACCTCTCTATGTTTATAATTTGTCATGATGTTAGAATCATTGATCAACAACTTCACTAAATCCTAACCACACATCCATTTTCTCACGGGCCTCGGCCTCACCTTCACTCACGCGAAATTAGGGCGGAGGCGGGGCCCACATGAAATCCGCACATCTCTCTCAAGCTCATGTGAAGAGTCACATGCTGCCTCGTTCCCGTTCCAAGCTCGCAACAACCCGCCGCCGCAGCGTCCATCTTAACCTATCAAGCTCAATCCCACCGCCAACCCTCTACTAACTCTGCCACCGCGAATCCAACGTCTGCATGCTCCATCATCTGTCCAATGAGAGCTTGATCAACCACCAAGCTGAGCTCTCCCGATTGGGCCCTGCTCAAGATGAGGCCCAAGGCAGAGGCCTTGACTGCCTAAGGGCAGGGCCGGCCCTGCAAAAGAATTGGGATTTAAGAAAGGCCTTTCAAGAGTAGATTTATGGAGGATGTACTATCATGGACGCATGTTGTTCTTTCTTTAGCCTATCAATTCTTTGAATCAAATGTGTTTGAAAGTCTTAGTTCAGTTTCAAGTGCATGGGTGAAAAATCTAGGCAAAACATCAATGTAGGTCCTTGATGCTTGTAATTTATCAAATAAAGTTCTTAACAATTGCTCTGTCTTCAGCCTGGGTTCTTTTTTAAAAGTTGCGTTAAAAATCGCTCATGTGACAGATTAAAGTTCTGAGTTTTGAAAACTGGTCGCTAACTAGACATCACTCTTTCTCTCTCCTTGGTTACCAAACCAAAAAGCGATGGGCTTTTTCGATAATAGCCCCTCAAATCTTTCATATTTTGGATAAGTACCCCACATGTTTTTATTTTGAAATTAGCCCCCGAAATCTATTTGTAATTCAAAATTAGTCACCCAAATCTTTATATTTTGAAATTGGTCCTCCAAATATGTTTGAAATTAGTCATCCAACTATTTTACCTCGTGCTAACTAGAGGGATTAATTTCAAAAAACTTAAAACAATTTGGAGAACTAATTTCATAATACGAAGATTTGGAGGGCTGATTTCAAAGCACTTAAAAGTTTTCAAGGATTACTTCCAAAATATAAAGATTTGGGGCACTAATTTCGAAAAATATATGAAAGATTTAGGGGATTAATATCAAAAGTTGAACTCATTCTAATAACGCAGCGTTCTCTGAGGCCGCCTCTAAGGGTGAATCCCCAGATCTTTCATATTTTCAAATTAGTCTCCTAAATCTTAACATTTCAAAATTAGTACCCAAGTGTTTTGAATTGATCTGCCAATTTTTCATAATGGTCTCCCATATCTTCATATTTTCAAATTAGTCCCCCAAATCTTTTAAGTTTCTAAAAATTAACCCCTCTAGTTAGGACTTAGAGGGTGTTTGGGGGAGGACTTATTTTTTTGTCAAACTAGTTTTTAAGCTAATTTTTTTCTTTCTACCGTTTGATAAAGTAATATATATAAGTTAGCTTATAAGTGACATTTTCAAAAGCTGGTGTGACCCAGCTCTTAAAAAACTAGCTTATAAGCTCACTTATATAAGTTAGGTTTGACCAAATAAATTACACTTTTACCCAAATAATTTTTATAGCATTTTTATCATAAAAAGCTAAAAGCAACTGAAAACCAACATAGTTTATAAGCTTCAAAAAATAAGTCTTACCAAACACCCACTAGGTTGAACTATTTTGGGGGATAAATTTTAAAACACTTAATAAATTTGGGGGACCAATTATAAAGCATGGAAATTTTTGGGCACTAATTTCAAAATAATTTCAAAATACTAAAAATATGAGGGACTGATTTCGAGAAGGCCCTTTACTTTTGGATCTAGTATATAAGAAGAGAGAAGGAAATATGTCCAATCATCAAACAATTTTTCAAAAATTACAATTTTAGTCTGCCACATCAGTGATTTTTAATAGAACATTTCAAAAAGGACCATGCTAAAGACAAAGGAAACGTTAAGGACTTTATGTGATGACTTACAAACATCAAGAACCTAAATGTTGTTTGGCCTATACTTCAAGAACCTCTACTGAAGTTTTGCCAAAAATCTAGCTAGTATTAATTATTAAGAGTTCTTGGGCGTTTACCGTGGCAAATGGCTAAATTTTTGAGGATTAGTTGTACATAGATCTCTTATACTATCACCACGTATCGCTTATTACCCCGTTCTATCCAATGTTTCAACAGATAAACCCATTGGAACTCAAGTGATCGAACACTGTTAATCTCCACCCCCATGCCTCTTCTTCGATAGATCGTGTTGTTTCCGACAAGGTTTGTAGAGGATATCATGAAGCAAATGGTGAGGAAGTGAGGGGGAGGATGTGGTAGTATAAGAGGTCTATTGTCATGATCTCAATGCGTTCAGCTCTGAGTATTGTATCTGCCAATGTCAAACTTAAAAGTGATCATAATAAAGACACTGAGACGGGATCTGTCCAATATCTCTTCTTCTGTTAATTGTCAGTTTCCTTCTCGTATTATCCTTTTTCTTTCTTCAATCACCTGTTCTCCACAAATGTTTTTTTAAATTCCATCCACAATAGAAGACTGTTATCATCGTAGAAGAATACAATGAAAACATGTGTCATAATACTTTAAAAAATATATAATTACATAATTTTATACAGTTCCAATATACATAGTTCCACCACATTTTCCTCACAATTCCTAAACACCAGCACTACCTCTAGTTCTTGGAAATGGAATGACATCTTTGACGTTGTCGATTCCAGTTACAAACATAACCAGGTTCTCAAACGCAAGGCTGAAACCAGAGTGCTTGACAGTACCGTGCCTTCGGATATCTAAGTACCACTCATATTGTTCCATAGACAATCCAGTTTCTTCAAGTCTAAATCATTTTGAATATTGGCAAAAAAAAAAAAAAAACAATTAGTTAGATCCTCCATGTTCTGTTACCTTATCTAGGTCATATTATTAATGGCAACGCTAAACTTCAGTTTATTTTCATGGTATTTTCACAAAATCCTCCCACATTTAGGGTGTTTTGCAAAATCCCCGAACATCATGAATTAGAGAAGATCTTGCTAAGCTTTCGAAGTTATAACAAAGCATCCGAACTGCTGGAAGTTGTCGTCAACAACGTTAATGTGATCATAAAAGGTCTAAACTAACTGTATTACCTTATGTCTACCCTGACTTAGAAATAGTGTGATATGACAGATATATTTTAGGTAAATAGAGAGGCAAAATTGAGCGAAACATGTCACACACAAAAGCATCTTATGACCTCAACTTTAGTGAAATAAGTTCAGAAGGTCTTCTCTTATTTATGAAGTTTAGGGTGTTTTGTTCGAAAAGTTTAGATGGCTTTTGGGAAGTCTACCCTTATTTTTACCTTGTAGTAATCTTTTTCAGACGCTCCTCCTTTTGGCTTCCCTGAACTAATACTCCAACCTGAAAAATAGATAATTTTTTAAGAAGACAAGCAAAATTTATAATAAAAAAAAGAACTGCAAACATCCATACTAGAGACCAACCTTTGGTGCAATAATATCAAACGCGGAGACTGTTTTCTCATTATCTGCTTCACGAACATAAAATGGCTTAATTTCTTTTGGATATTCGTATATGATCACTGGTTGTTTGAAAAACACATCAGCCAAATAACTGCCATAATTTTTCAGTAAAAACAAATTATTAATTAAAATAATATATGAGAAGTAGTGGAATATAATTTATTACGAGTACAATATATATAGTTACCTTTCATGTTCTCTTGATAGACTAATTCCCCATTCAGCTTGTGCGTCAAATTTGCCATCGTCAGCCTGCAAGTTAGTTGAAGTTGATTTATTTTTGTTGGATTAGACTGATATTTTTAAGAGAACATTCAATAAATTACCTTTTTTAGAAAATCCAATGCTTCTGTGTAAGTAATTCTTGGAAAAGGTCTTGAGCAAACAGATTTAAGGCGATCAGTACAATTATTGTCTACGCGTTTTGACATAAGAATTAAATCATCAGGACAGCTCTCTAGAAATTTGTGACAGAGAAACTTCAAACAATCCTCTGCACAATTCATTGCATCCTATAAAACAAATAGTCCAAATTTAATTCAAAAGAATATTAGGTAATAAGAAGCAATGTTGAAAATGACGAGAATAAGTTAATGTAACGCTTGGCCTCGTGTTAAGGGTTAAGGAATAAAACACAAAAAGACGTAACACATCAGGTAGGTTATATTATTAATTAACTATTTAGATATTTTATAAATACTAACAATTCATAATAACTTTAATACTTAGAATCATCAAACTTTTCAAACATAACATCACAATTATCAAATGTAAAAATATAGTATCACAATTTCTTAACAAAAATTAGTCATATACGACGAACAACCATTCCAGAAAGCATTATCAAATTATCAAATATGTTAACATCATTAAGTTTAAGGCAATAAAAACAAGTCTAAACACTCCCAACTCTCGAGGTCTTATAGCTTCACAAAAATATTCTAATTCCTAACCGAGTTCACTACATCAACCAAGCTAAACATATTTATGTAGCAGCAAAAAATTTTGCATATGCAGAGATTGCGTACAAACTTAATTTCACAAACTCCAGTATTAACTGAAAACTGAAAACTGAGACCTAATCAAAATCAAGTAATAACTGAAAGTAATTATCTAACCAATACAATCAACCCACTAATTAATCTCGATATTGTAATTCTGTGACAGATCTCAAAAGATTATGTTGAAGGGTAATGAAGCAAAAAGTCTGATATGATTTATGGTAAATAAGCAATAAAAAAGATTAAAATTTAGAAGGTAATTTCAGAATCACTATTTATTTAAAAGATATAAACTGAGATGTCTTATGCATAACTGAAAAATAAAAAATTTATCTCACCGGAGCCGCAGAAGCCACCTTACCTTTCATGTTCTCTTGATAGACTAATTCCCCATTCAGCTTGTGCGTCAAATTTGCCATCGTCAGCCTGCAAGTTAGTTGAAGTTGATTTATTTTTGTTGGATTAGACTGATATTTTTAAGAGAACATTCAATAAATTACCTTTTTTAGAAAATCCAATGCTTCTGTGTAAGTAATTCTTGGAAAAGGTCTTGAGCAAACAGATTTAAGGCGATCAGTACAATTATTGTCTACGCGTTTTGACATAAGAATTAAATCATCAGGACAGCTCTCTAGAAATTTGTGACAGAGAAACTTCAAACAATCCTCTGCACAATTCATTGCATCCTATAAAACAAATAGTCCAAATTTAATTCAAAAGAATATTAGGTAATAAGAAGCAATGTTGAAAATGACGAGAATAAGTTAATGTAACGCTTGGCCTCGTGTTAAGGGTTAAGGAATAAAACACAAAAAGACGTAACACATCAGGTAGGTTATATTATTAATTAACTATTTAGATATTTTATAAATACTAACAATTCATAATAACTTTAATACTTAGAATCATCAAACTTTTCAAACATAACATCACAATTATCAAATGTAAAAATATAGTATCACAATTTCTTAACAAAAATTAGTCATATACGACGAACAACCATTCCAGAAAGCATTATCAAATTATCAAATATGTTAACATCATTAAGTTTAAGGCAATAAAAACAAGTCTAAACACTCCCAACTCTCGAGGTCTTATAGCTTCACAAAAATATTCTAATTCCTAACCGAGTTCACTACATCAACCAAGCTAAACATATTTATGTAGCAGCAAAAAATTTTGCATATGCAGAGATTGCGTACAAACTTAATTTCACAAACTCCAGTATTAACTGAAAACTGAAAACTGAGACCTAATCAAAATCAAGTAATAACTGAAAGTAATTATCTAACCAATACAATCAACCCACTAATTAATCTCGATATTGTAATTCTGTGACAGATCTCAAAAGATTATGTTGAAGGGTAATGAAGCAAAAAGTCTGATATGATTTATGGTAAATAAGCAATAAAAAAGATTAAAATTTAGAAGGTAATTTCAGAATCACTATTTATTTAAAAGATATAAACTGAGATGTCTTATGCATAACTGAAAAATAAAAAATTTATCTCACCGGAGCCGCAGAAGCCACCGATAGCTGGAGGAGTTTCAAAGGAGGCAAAAGAGCTAGGGTTTGGATTGGAGGAGGCGAAGATATCACATATTTGCAAAACTAGAAGGGATGAGGTTTAAATAATTTGGACGGTGGAGATGCATCAGAGATGCAATTTAACTTAAAAAACTCATGTTAACTGGTTTTATAACGTAACGCACATTTAGTGCAATATAACACATATTTTTTTTAAATAGTTTTAGGGTTAAATGGGTGTGTTACCTAACATGAGGGCGTCCTTAAGTTACAAAACGGGTTATAACGGGTTATATAACAAGTTTTTTTAAACACTGGTAAGAAGAGAGTATAAGTAAGAAAACGTTTTGAGCAAACCTTTTCTTATTCTATATTTTCTCTTCTAACTTATTTTCGTGCATGTTCACTATCAGTGCAATTACTGTTATCTTTAGTGTGTGCACGTGTTTTACACACGTGCGAGGGAAGTTTCATATATAACATAGTGGGAAAAAGAGAAGATTACCTCTAGTTCTGCAAAGGCCAATGCGACATCAATTGTCCATCTTTCTGCCAAATTCTTTGCAGCTTTAACGTCCTTATCAGCTTCAAACGTTGGGCCAAATGTATAAACACTACTAAGAGCACAAGCATAGCTTTCAAGGTGAAGCTCAGGTGAAGTTGATAAATACGCACGGCGTAAAAAGAAATCCTTCGAAAAATCTAAAATTTTATCCATAACTGATAATGCCTTGCTTTGTTGCTTCTCCTCCAATTGTAAAGCTAGTTCATGAGCCTTCTGAAGATCTTGTAAAGCGCCAATAAGAGCTTCTTTGTTGCTGTCAGTCCTTTTGAGCTCTTCGATCCTAGCACTCTTTTCCTTGATAGCATCCTTGACTACTTCAATATTGATGTCTTCTTTATCATTCTTTTCGTCTGTCTTTTCTATGTCAACTAATTTGTTGAGAAGAGTTGATACTTGAAACATTTTGGCATCGGCTCTTGAGCTCATAGTGGTGATAATGGGCATATGCACATGAAGGAAACCGTTGCTTTGGAAGAACAAATGTGTTGCATTGAATAAGCTATTGCGAATGCGGGCAACAGATGCTCCCTGTGTTAAGTGAAGATGAAATTCTTAAATAAGATACATACATAATGGAAAAATGTGTCCCTTATTTAACAATCAAGAACCATTTTAATGTATAGAAATATTCACACAAAACAAATTAATTAAAACTATACATGAAAGATAAAGAATCTCAATTTACCATAGAAGCTCGAGGACGGAGGTGTGGGTAAGATCTCACAGTATCCAAAGATAAACGTGATTTTCTTAAGGGATATGTCTCGATATTCATACTCCCAACATGTAGGATTTTCTCTGCTTTAAGCTCTATTGAATGCTTTTTCGGTGCAGGTATCTTCACAATAACACCTTCTACTAATACAGAAGTACCAACATGTGTAATTTGTTCAAGAGGATATAAAGAAGACTCGGCTACAACCTAAAAAAATTGAAAACAAGTTAAAACCAAAACAATAAGGGAATACTGGACATCTCATTTTGTTAAATAAATCTTTTTTCTTTTCTTTTCTTTTCTTCCTTTCAACTTTCAAAATATGTGGACTGTGAAAGTGCAAAGATATTCTCAGACGTCACGAAAACAAACTAAAAGGTTTAATGATTTCATTAATAATCATATATAGGTAAGGAGTTGTTGAACTTATAAGATACGATGTTTGTTGAAACAATAGGATAGATGAAGCATTTTTCTTGTAATTTACCCTCAATATAACTACTATTCTGCGGAAATGAAATAAATTACAAACCTGAAGACTAGCAACACAAGACCCATCGTTAATCCTCAACCAAGCAACAAAAGACACAGTCCTAGACTGTCCTCCCTCCGCTTTCACAACCGGAACTGACTTCCTCCCACCAAGAATCCTGGCAATGGAACCGAGGATCGGAATCCTTGACATGAGCACTTCGGGATAAGTAACATCAGCCACGGCCACCACGGGCTCCGCCTTATCCGTGCATGACTTCACCCACCCACCAACCACAACCCTCTCCCCTGCCAACCCAACTCCTCCATCATCTCTGCCCACTATTGATTTCAGCACCACTCTTTTTGAGTACTTTAAGTGTTCAACTGTTGTCAGTTTTGGTGCCATTTTTGAAATTTTAGTTTCGGGATGAAGGGATGAGATATAGAGGAGATGATGGCGAGGGGTGATATTTTAAGGTGTCTGATGGAGTATGCTTTTGATAGGAGGCGAAGTAAGGAAGGGGTGTGAGAAAGAAATGGTTTTGGGATTTCCTCACATCCAGGATTTCTTTTGCGCGGGAAACAAGCTGCTAGACAATTTTAGCATATGTTTAGAAAAAAAAACATCAATAAAATTTAGATTCTTTGCTTCCTAGGGTATACGGTTAAATTTCACATAATCTCCTGAACTAGGGAAGGTGTTCCACATAACACCATAAACTTTGTTTATCTCACATAACCCCCCTAAACTTTGTTTATCTCACATAACCCCCCTGAATTTTGGATGTCCCACAAAACCCCCTTGAACTTTGCACTTTTCTCACCGTATCCCGTACATGTAACTTGGAAAAAACTATATTTCATTGACAATAAAAAAGACAATTTAAGAGGGAGTTTATTGCCGATAAATGACAACCGACAAAGCTTAGAATTTTTTCTTTGAAGAAAATTTTAGTTATTTTCAAATTATATATAGGGTGTCAACTAGAATAGTTCATAGTTGAGGGAGGGTTTTGTGATAAACCGAAAGTTCAAGGGATTATGCGACATACACAAAGTTTAGGGGGTTATGTGCAACACACCCCATAGTACAGCCGGGGTTATGTGAAATTTACCGCTCCAAATATTTACCAGATGTACGAATATGCACAACAAGACCAACTACTTTTCTGAAAATAAACGCACCGAGTCTTGCTAGGCATGATTAAAGCATTTAAGCCTTTAATTGATCTTGTTGCTGTTTGACCAAAATCCATGTAACAATGTTTCTAACGTAACAATCATGTCGATGTTTGACCAATCCCACACTTAAGATGTAATACTACTGATCATTGGTCGGCATAAACGTATGCATATTTCTCTTTTAGATAACGCTGAAGCCTTCAGCACTACAACAGCATATACTTAAATATACAAGCTACTATATTAGTTGATTTCCATTCTTATACTCTATCAAACAGTTCAAGTAGGCCTGAATTTTTTTGCCGTTAAATGAATCACTGATCGACATGACATGTCAGTGTTCTATTGTCCTGATTGATGAAGAATAAGAAGTGAAGAAAACCCCAATGATAATTAGGAAAAAAAAAGGTAAGCATAATATACACATTGCTCCCATATTTGCTTTGATTTGCACTATACAAAGTTCATTTCTCCTTGAAAGGGAAACGGTCGAATTACCTACAGGCTTTACAAAACTCATTCCGACTCTTGATTTAAGAGAACTGTTGGACGCACAAAAGTACTTAGATTTATTGTATAATATATGTATGTCACAGGGGCTTCCTCCTTTTTGGTTGCTCCGACCTGCTTCCTGCGCATATGACAATTTGACTAAATCCCTGAAATGAAGAAAACAAAAGGTACTTGACACAACAAAACCTAAACTTCGTTAATATTATGCAAATTTAGCCCTGTCATATAGCTTTTAAAAATATACCATATTAACCCATACTCAAATCATTTTCAAGCTGTAGTCCAAGCCACAACTATCCAAGACTTCTACTAGTATAATGATACACTTTTATGTGTGTCGTATCACATATGAAGGCAGGCAATGTTGCGCTGATCATGGAGACTTTTAATTCCCATCCAATGGTTTCTTCTCTCCAATATACACTGGTCCCTTTTACACAATTGATTTCCATTATAGAAGAACTGTGTGTGCCATCAAGGATCAATGTCACATGCAATCATATCATATGCGCTCAAAATCTAGTATTCTCGGTTCAAACTTCCCAAAAGCATTGTCTGAGTTGAATCCAAGATGAACTAAATTTAGCAGCGTCAGTCCAAAAAATCAGCTATAAGCACAAATCACGAAATGTATTCATGTCCAAAGATGTGAGGCCTCTAGGCTGCCTGCCATAACCGAATTGTTGAAAGAAATTTGTAGAGTTGCATCTGATGTCATGTATCACGAATCTTTTAATAGAACGAAAAGACTAATATCCCAGTGAAATGAGTGCTTCGATAAAGAATGTTGACAAGCCTTGTACTTTTAATTCTCGATATTGGAGCATTTTTTTTTCAAGTTAAAACAGATCACTCTTAATTAGCTTATGTACACAATGGATGGGCAGAATCTACTGTTTTTCAGGAGCATGGTCCTCAAAGTTGCTGTTGAAACCATAGATAAGCAAAAGAAAAGAACAATGAGCTTTATTTTCTTGAAGGAATAAGTACAGAAGGACCTCTGTACTAAATCATCAAAACAAAAGGCTCATCTTTTAAAATATATGTATTTCCTCATCCAGCAATGAGATCCAAAGTACAACTAACTGATCTAACTCATAAAATCTTTTGTTTAAAGCAGCTATTTCCTAGTTTAATTACCATAGAAGTTCCCATGAATTGAAAGGTCATAAAAAGGTCAGACTAGACTATTCTTAATATTATTGCATAGTGAATAGTAAGTGAAGAATGGACATCAGATTTTTCGTTCTGCTTGTCTATGGGTCCAACAACAGCGTTGAGGACCATGCTATTTAAATATAGTGGATTCCTCTGATCCAATGTGTAGTCAAGCTAATGAAGAGTGATTCTGTAAGTATGCTCTAATATCTGCCATTTGAAGTGGGAAGACTACCCCTCCCTCCCCCACCCCACAAAAAAAAAGCCAGACGTCTCTGAATCTCCAGAAGTGGTTCACTGTTGCTAACGGTTTGCCTCCTAAGCTACCGCTTCCTTTGTTCCCTTTGTCAACCAGCATCCACTTACAAAAATGGGCTCAAAGATTTGACAAGGTCTTCATCACAATTGAACTCCCTGATGAGAAGGATGTAAACTTGAACTGGAACCCGATGGTCACATTTATTTTTCACTGCTTTTCTTCCAAATAGTATTTCAGTCGCTAGTTTTGGTGATTTGGATAAAGAGAATACAAGAAACTAGATCAAAGACAAAAGAGAAAAGTTCTAGTCCAGATCAATTTCTTTATTAATTGCAGTGGAAGAAAAGAATCATGGGCTGGTTCAAATTCACTAAGGTTTTTTTCATGAAAACCACTTTTAAAATAAGGTGAAAATACAAAAACCACCTTTCAAGTTCAATTTATACGGAAACCATTAAAGAGGTCTCCGGTTACAATCAACCACATTGACCTATTTTTTTATGAAATTTCAATTGAAATCTTTAAAATAACCTTAAAAAATACACTGCATTAGGCGCATGACATGTATGATTAACCAAAGTTGACATATTTTTTTGGGGTATTCTTCAAGGGCATTTTGGGAATTTCAATCAAGATTTAACAAGAAAATAGGTCCTGGTGGTTGATTGCAAACAGAACTCCCTTTAAAGGTGGGGTATAAATTGAAACTGAAAGGTGATTCTAGTCTTTTCACCCTATGTTATAGGGTGGTTATTGTGAAAAATTCATTAACTTGAGCCTTTTACTGAATAGCAAAATATGTTTAAGCAAAAAAGGAACAACATTAAGGAGATCACAACTCAAAATCAATCAAAACGTTATCTGAATTTAATTAAGGAATAATATTAAGGAGATCACAACTCAGAATCAATCAAAATGTTATCTAAATTTTAATCACGGAACAATAAACAATAGTAAACATAATAAGCTAACCATTTTGATAAAATGAAACTCTAGAAGAATAATACAGTAAAATGGTGTTATTTGGATAGGGATCGTTTGGTCATCCCACACGGAAACTAAATTACAATTTAATGCAAACCTTTGCATGGAGCGTTCAATTCATCTAGGCCAGAAAGTCCGGTAATGGATCCATCCTAGAAACACAAAGAATAAATGATTAGAAGTCAGCTTCGACAAAGGTAAATTTTCAAAGACAAAGTAGCTAAGCGCAATATAAACAATAGATTTGAATCTGAGCATTGACAGTGGGGATTCAAAATGCAACACAAGGCATAAAGTTTGAAGCGTGAAACTATATTAACAGAATGGCATAATAATTTCAACCTAAGTAAATAAATAGAACAAGTAATAACAAAGAAAGATATATGTCAGTTACTGTGGACATGAAGCAAAAAAATTAATACGAGGTTCTGATAGGGGGACGAACGGTTCCGATACAAATCAGATATGACATTAACCATATAGGTATCCACTTGATATTTACAGATATGGATTTGAATATAGATATGCTCCAGTAGGAGAGCTATTTTACCATTATTCCGAATCTGCCAAAATCGGAAATGGATACAGATCATAAATGGAGATAAATAGGTATGGATACGGTTCGAGCACAAAAATGATATGATACACAAAATGAAGGTTAGCTCTTGTATAGAACATGTATAAAGATAACTTAAATTATTTATAACAATTTTCTATTAATATGAATTATTGTTATCCTTCAATTTTACTGATCCAGTTTTTTATATTCGTAGAAACAAGTTATAGATCAACAATCATCTAGTACATGAACTTATATAATGTATGATGGATGATAGATTAATAATTATTAGGCCTAGTGTGAGCTATGAAGCAATTTACCAATAAGTATAAAAATTGCCTAACAATACAACACTGTTTTAAAAAGCCTCTGCCTACGCCTAGGCCTAGACGGTACCTAGACCGCCTAACTAGCGCCTAGCACCTGGGTAGTATCTAGGTTGCTCACCTAGGTTTTGAGAGTGTTTAGGGGAGCATTGTCTTAGGCCTTGATCATCATTTTCTGTGTTGCAGCCTTCACGTCTTCCAACCTCTGCAAACTCCTTTAACCTCCAAATATATACACCTCCACTACCTCGTTCGACATTCAGCAAAGCCCCCTCAACACCACTTAAATGAAGAAATTTGCCTTTACTTCAATCTAGTATCTAAACTTTCTATAACATTGACATTTACTATCAATTATTGTAATTAAAAAATAAATAAATAAAACTCTTAGGCTCTAGGCGACGAGTCCAACACCTAGGCCTCCTAGCATTTTCTATAACCTTGTTAATTATTATTTTGGCTATTTAGTATATAGGTATGCATGGTTTATTATGGATCTAAGATTACTATCTTTTTTTTATAAATTTATATGAATCAATGTTGAAAATAACGCGTTTCGTGGCGTAAAATAGCGTTTAACGTAACGTAGCGATGACCTAACGCAACGTGGCGTTTCAAAATAGCGTAAATACCAAATAACGCGCACTATTTTGGACATAGCGCACGTTACGTAGCGTTTCTCTGTAGCGTAATGTAACCTAGGTTATTCGATTAATTTGATTAATGACCAACAGCAAGGCGATCTCCTCATGCCCAGGTCCGCAAGAAATAGGATTCGGGTTCAAATCGGCTTCTAACACTTCACCCCGAAATCAAAAAGAGAAAAAAAAACAAAAACAGAGAGAAGTAAATCAAGCTAGGGTTGTCGATCACTTACCTTTCCTCCGAAAGTTGTCTGCATCCTCAACGGGCGTCCACGAAGACGACAACGATCGGCCACGTAGACGACGACGGGCGGCCACGAAGACGACGGAGATCGCAGCTCAAGGTTAGTTTATTTCTCTCTTTGTTTTTCTTTTTTTCCTTTCTCTTTGTTTTTTCTTTCGTTTCCAGCCTTCTTTCTTTTTCTCTCCTCAACGAGAAGGTTCCAGGCTTCAGCTTTTTTTATTCTTTTCTTTGTAGGTAAATTAACTGGGAACTGCCGGTCCTTTTTTCCTTTTTTACTGTAGCTTTTTGCAGTAAAAAAATAATTGAAGCGGAATAGTTAAAAACTGTTAATTTGTTATCTTAATTACTGTAACTATTTTACTGTAGTTAAATTAAGTTAATTACCAGTAAAAAATTAACTATATTTAGGTTGTAACTTGGTGTAAGTATATGAAAATTAAATACTATAGCTATTGATTTGTGAAACATTGATAAGTAAAATGAGAGTGAGAATGAAATGTTTTTTATTTATTTTGATGATATATTGATTTGTGAAATTGAGAATTGTGATGATTATTCATATTTTTTTATTTTGAATGTTATATATCTATAAATTATTTAAATAAGAAGAAATTATTTAACCTACGTTACGCTATGCGTTATCGCTATTGTAACTTAACCGAAGGTAAGCGTTACGCTATGCATTATCGCTATTTTCAACATTAATATGAATTTAATACATATCTTTATTATATATTATAATTAAATAATTTAAAAATAGCTAAACGCCTAGGGGCCTCCAAAGCATACGCCTAGGCGTTTAGGTGCTTGGCGCTGGCTCAAACGCCTAGTCCGCTAAGTGCCTTCTATAACATTGCAATACAGAGAAAGATAGATAAGAACCATTGTAGGCATTACCACCGCTAAACGAGGAAAAGAAGGGGTCATTGCCACTGTTTTAAAAAACCTCTGCCTAGTCCACTTAGGCGTACGCCTAGGCCTAGGCGGTACCTAGGCCGCCTAACTAGCACCTAGCGTCTAGACGGTATTTAGGCTGTCCACCAAGATTTTACGAGTGTTTAGGGGAGCATTGTCTGCTTACGTGGATTACACCCTGTAGACCTTGATTGTGATTTTGTGTCGTAGCCTACACGTCCTCCAAACTCCATTAACCTTCAAATATGAACACCTCCACTACCTCCTCCGACCTTCAGCAAAACCTCATCGACCACCACTTAAATGAAGAAAAAAAAACGTCCAGAAACCGCTTAGGCATCCGCCTAGGCGACTAAACGCTGGACGCCAAGTCCGACATCTAGAAGCGCCCAGCGTTTAATGTAACATTGGTCATTGTAATCGCATGGAAAAGGCTAATGAGTAGGCGACCATCGCAATCGCATGGAGAAGATTAATGAGCAATCTTTTAGTTCTAAGAAAGAAAGCCTTCTGTTTTATTTATTTATTTATTTATTTTGGGTTTGAGAACTTGGCATATGAATTTTTATTTTTTAATTCTTTAAGTTTGCAACACCACACTACATGGGTATACATGACTGGTCATCAATAAACAGTGAGTCACGTGGTTTTGTAGGAGTTGTGGGTGCTGGTTGAATATCATTGATTACTTAGGTATTTGATCTGGATCCTTTCTTTTTTCTTTCTTTTTTTTAAACAAATTTATATCAGAATCCATATCCGACCAAATTTGGCTTTCAATATCCATATCCACATCTGTCTGATTTGAATATGGTTCAGTTTGGATATACCCTAACCATTTTGCATCCCTAGGCTCTAGTCTCAATATGATTCTACTATATGAGCTTTAATTCAACTAAGATCAAAATGGATCCCTTGATATTCATGCCCTTTTGATGCCTCCATGTACAACAAATAGTTTTTGCTTTACCCTATTTCTTCATTTACCACTTTAGAAAACAGAAGGTTAATGATGTTATTATAAAGTTGATAAAGAGGGAGCAGTACAACAAAGTCAAAATAATGAAATAAGTCTACAAAGAAGGCTTTTGAGTCAGCCTAAACACCATGCAGTGAGGGTAAAAAACAATAAAAAAAATCGAAAGTATCACACAACTATATAAGCAAACTCTTGCACTAACACATTTGTAGTTAGTACGGAAGGGGGAAAAAGATATTGGATAATAATTTTGCAGGAAAGGACATTTCCTCATTTCCACAATAGTTAAGAGGGCAAATCCCCTTTTTCTTTCTCTTTCTTTTCTTCAAGAACATTCCATAATATACATGAACATGAAATTAGGGCCCACATAATTACATATGCATTATATTTTAATTTGTATAAGGAATTAAAAGAAAATTTATAAGATTTTCAAAAAAAAATACATATATAGACATATATTTATGCACTCTATACTAACCTATAAAAATATGTTGTCTAAAAGCTAAAAGGTAAATTTTTTGTCTCCCACTTGTACACATTTTTATGGTATAATTCTAATTTTGGTATGAGGGTATTTCTAGAAAAAATGTGCCCAAATTTCATCATGCACTATTCATGCTCTGTTTCCTTTTTATAACTCCTCTTTCTTGTTAGTTGCCCTTTTCTTCTCTAAGGGGATGGACACTGAAGGAGAAATGATGGTCAGTGAGGGAGAAGTGGTAATAGGTGAGGGACGGTGAGGGAGGAAATGGGAGAGGGTGAGGGAGGGTGAGGATTGTGATCGTTCCCTCTCCTTTTTCGAGTTTCAATCCTCAATTCCAAATCCAAACACCTCTAAAATCCCTATTCCCCTGCCATTTCTCTCTCACATAAAAAAATCTAGCCATTCTCATTTTCACTAAAGATCCCATCAAGCTCATAATCAAGAAGAGTTGAAGCAATGTCAGGCCTAGGCAAAGGAGTCTAGTGGCAAGGACAAATCTTCCTCGACAATGTCATCACTGACGCTGTCACCTTTCTCCACCTATTTCTTGAGAAAGTCCTCCTCACGATCCTAGACTTTCATGGTCAAGGATGTAATCTACGCCCTCAATCGCCATAAGAGGATGAATTTTCAGATTTGTTTTACTTCCAACTTGATTCTCATATCTACAAGTGTTCATTTCTGATTGTTTGCAAATATTGTTTCTCATTTAATTTAGCTTAATCCTATTCTCCCGCTTACATTATTAGTTATAGGCTTGTTGACTTTGTTGACTGTTCCAATTTAATTTTATATCAGTATATTACAATTCCTTCTTATGGGTATGAATATAGATGTTGCTCGTTCGAAATTGATTTTTCAAGGCAATCAGACTAAGTCGAGCATCATTAAGTTAGTTTTCTCATATGTATGCAAGTTGATATATGTGATGGCCAACGATTCTTGGGGAAGTCTTTCCTCTTCATCTATTCCTCTACACTTTGTTTTCCCTCATAACG